CATTGTGACGACTTAAATAAAAGCTTCGCGAGATTGTCTCAAAAAAAAACCGGGGTGCGGTCGGTCGTGTCTCTCAAACCCTCGTCTCTTCCCCCGACCCCCAGACCCACCCAGACCCAGAGAGAGTCGCCACCGCCGCCGCCGCCCCCGCCAAATCCAAATCCAAATCGAAAGCAATGTCGCCGCCGGCTTTGACCACGGCCGCCACCACCATTGCCATGGCCGCGGGAACTGTGGAGCTGGTGAGGGGCGCCGTGGAGGCCATCTCCCACCTGACCGAGAAAAAGTGCCGCAAGTGCCGTCGCATGGTCAAGAAACGAGAGCTGGTGAAGCACTTGGAGGACCATTTGTAAGTAGTAGTAGTAGTTGGATCTCGATCGATCGACCCCCCTCTCTCTCTCTCTGTGCTTGACTCCATCCATCCATCCATATGTTGTGTTGGTCACCTCCTCTCGGTTGGGATTGGGTGCAGGGACGAGTACGAGAAGCTGTATGCTACTGACAAGGAAGACCTGGAGCGCAAGATCGAGCGTTTGTATGTGAAGCGACCCCCTCCCTCCCTCCGTCCTCTGTTTGTTTTACAAGACCAGATTGGCTAACTGCGTTTGCCTTTGCGTGCAGGGAGGCTCTGGAGGAGAGGCTAAGAGAGGATAAGGCAGAGCTCCTGCACAAGCTTGAGATCATGTGCGTGCGTCTAGCTTGAATCATTCCCCTTTTTTTCTTGTTTTTCACCTCCCAAGCAAGGAGTGTGACTGATTCTTGTTTCATCAGTGACAGGGATCACAAAGAAGATAAGAGGCGTCTCATCAAAGATAAATCTGAGCTTAAGAAGGAGCTGGTGCAAGCCAAAAATGAGGAGGCCCGGCTCAGGGCCCTGGCGCTCTCTGAAATCAGGATCGAGTGCGACCTCTGCAACGAAAATGTGCTTGCCAAAGACCGTGAGTCCCACATCTAGATTCACAGGTAGCTTAGCCCTGTCATTCTGTTCCAGGTTTTATACACTAGGAAAAATCAATCTGTGATTTATTTTGACATAAATAGCACCTCCTGTCTGTTATGAATAACATCCATGTGAGTGCAACCTAAATTACAACCATCTCTACACCTACATTTTCATCTCTGATATCAAAATTGCTTTGCTTGCACCTCTGCAGAACGGAGCGTCGCTTGTTAATCAAACACCTTTCAGGGAAGCATTTGTGAACACACCATCAAGGTAAAGCCAAACATACATGGCTTGTACCTCCTCTTCTTTGCTAAACTGGTGCAGCTGAAACAAAAAAATACTTGTTTTTTAGCCTTCTATCAACTGAATGTCCTAGCTAGGAATAATACTAGTGATTGGCTTTCAAAATGAACAAGAGAAACTAAATTTGCGCACCAAACATGTTTATTTATCTACACTTTCACTATGTGGAATTGCATACTAACATACTACTCCCTCCGTCCAAAATATATAAACCAAAATATATCCAATAATGTTGTGAAGCTTAGCTTTGTGAAACTGCTCGACCATGCTAATATATTTAATAATGTTGTGAAGCTGACTACCAATTTGATGTGAAGCATGCTTCATATTTAGTACAAACTAGTTAAGGACAGATGCCTATTTGCTAAAATGGTGCTATTGACGGCATACTCTTGCTTTTTTGAGCTCTCTATTAACTGAGGTACAACTACAGTAGTGTTTGACTTTTCAAAATGAAGAGCAGAAATTAATTTTGTACCCCCAAACAGAGATAAACAAGTTTATTAGCTGACATTATCCAGGGAGTGCCAGGCACAAACAAGCTTCTGAGAATGCATTTTGTTAAGCTGGGTTCAACAATGATGGAATCAGTGTAACCTGTTTGATCATTTCATCTTATTTTACCTTGTGCTGCACATCATCATCCACATCTGGCGCACAATGTGAGAAGAGAACATAAATGAAGTAGCATAACTTACTGCCTTTCTTTCTGGTGCTTGCAGGAAGCAGGTATAACATGCAGATGAACGCTCAAAGATGCTGAATGAGTTGAATAAAAAGTCTTCATTCAAAACTATTCATAAACTGTTAAAGAAATTTTGAGCATGTTTGCTATACATACGAGAACGTAGACCGAGTGCTAGTAAGTCATGGTCCATTTGGGGTGAAATGTTCCTAATTATTAATTGCAGAATGTTGGTGAAAGCTTTAGCGTTAAATTAATTTCATTAGTATTGGGATGTGTATGATTTCGTTACTAACTTGATGCCAAGGGATGTGGTTCAAAAAGTCAACTTACAGTGACCAGCAGTCTAAAATCAAGATTAAGCACTGGCTCGGGTAAAGCTGCACTCCCCTAGCAGAGATGCATCTAGACCATTTGTTTGACTGGGTATTTTTGGTTTATTTCTACAACCCGGCAGCTGGGTTAGTTGATTTGTGCTTATCCTTGTTTGTAGAAATAATTGTCTTTCTCTTGAGAAGGATAGCAGTAGTAGGCAGGAGGGTAACATAAAACGATTACCTAGAGCCCATGGGTCATAAGACACAAGACATCATATGTTGTGGCACTAGCAAATTTATTTCGCGGAGTTGCAGGTCGCCTACATATACCTGGACATGGAAAGGGGCAGATCATATCATAATCCAAGGTCCTGATGAACACACACACACACACATGTACAGTAAGGAAATTGAAAACTGTTGCCTCTGTGTGAGAAATCTCCATGGATGTACAGAGTGTGTGTGTGTGTGTGTGTGTCTAAGCTGCTACCCCACTAGAGCACGTGAACAACTTCCATTGCGCATCCCCGAAGGATGAGCAACGGAATGGACACACCAGATTTTTTTTCCTCTGTTCGAGTTCTTCCATGGGGCTACTTAATCACATATCCCAAAGAAATGTTTCATACTCCAATGGCTTCCCTATGAGCCAAGGAATCCAACAAGATGCCAATAAACATGCATATATGTACAACAAGGAAATTGAAAAAAAGAAGCACAAATATGATAGCCTGCAGCATGAAAAGGCACATAAATTTTGGTAAATTATTGTGTTTTTGTTCCACTAGAATATAAAAATCAAGATCTTATTACTTGGTAGAAACACAAAAATACTACTCCCTCCGATCCATATGACCTGTCGCTCAAACGCATGTATCTACTGCTAGATACATCCATTTGAACAATAACTAATATGGATCAGAGGGAGTACCAAAAATCAAATAGAAGGCCCTACACTCTCTCATGAGCATGAGAGCATCTGCCCTTTCATTCACTAACTAAAACAAATGCTAACTAATTACTCCCTCCTCAAGCATCTCTTCTTTCACATACATTTTGAGACCTCAGCAGTTTGGCAAAATTTAATAGATAGAAACAAATAATATCAGTAAACTGTCTAGTCAGACCAAAACAACATGAAAAAAGTTAAAGGTTTAAAATAAATTCTATATCTCAGGTACTTTTTTATATTTTTTGGATGAGAAACTATCATGACAGAGTAGGGGAAAAAGAGAGGAATTGACAATAGAACGATTACCGAGAGTTGACTATGCATCAGGATCTAGGCACCTTCACAAGCAAGAAGTCAAATGCAGCAGCAGCCCGCCTGTCACGAGCAAAGCAGGGCGGCTACGTGCCTGAACAAACAATTGTTTTATAGATAGCAACATCATATCAGAACAGGCCAACATCAAACCTGAAGAACTGAATGAATACACGTACAGCAAAGGAAACTGAACAAGAAAAAGATGTCCATGGATCTATCTGTCTAGAGAGATAGAGAAGGAGTGGACAGCCTCCATTCATTCATTTCGAGTGGACAGCTTGGGCCATGTGCACACATCCCCAAAAGATGAGCACATACTTAAAAAGTAAATAAACCCCACAAGCAAATGGACGATTCCAAAGTGCACCAATCTCTCTGATAGAACCACGCCTGCACAACGGTTATTAGACACGTATAAATATTGTTAACTTATGTAACTTGATTAAAAAAATCAAAATCCTAAGAGAAACACATACAAAATTAATTTGTTGTTAAAAGTCAAATCAAATCACAAGCAAAAGTATCACTTGCATGTTCTTATGCTAAAAAAACTCACTCTCATCTTTGGTACATGGACTAAAGGAAAACTCTGTTTCTTTTTTTCCTTTTCTTCTTTCCTAAACGAAATAGACGCACCAAAGAAAATTTTCATACTCCAACTATTTTCCTCTGATTCTACTACGAGTAAAGAAATATGAGATCATTTAGATCACTAATCTAAAATGACTAATTAAGATTACTCTAGCATAGCATTGGACACCAAGTTTTTTAATCTTAGCACATACCCTCATATCACCTTAGCACCAGTGAAAAGTGGACTATAACAATGAAAGCAAAGAATGTGAGGATTGGTGCTTAAAGATTAAAAGGCTTTAGCGACACCGCTAGGCTAATAAAATGTATGGATTGTTATAGTTCTCTGTATTAATTCGGATGATCCATAAAAGTGGTACTAAGGGGTGTGGAAAAAAAACTCATCAAAGAGTGCTTTATAGGCCACCAAAAGTAAAGGAATTGCAAGAAGAGGTTTGAGAAAAAAATTCTTGAAAAATAATAGACTGCATGAATTCTTGGGAAAAATCCCAAAGAGTTTGATATCCTTTTAGGAAAAATTCCCACAGATCCAAACACCCTAAAAACCGTATTCCGGTGAATCTTCTGAACAAGGATTTTTTTTTTTTGCTTTGTCATCCGCTGATATACAGAAGATTAAAAAAAACTATGCACACAGCTGGGATATTCGTTTTGCTCGATGGATGGGAAATATCTGTAATATTGTAACATAAAATACAGACAGATCCAACCTGCAAGCCAAGACAGAAGAAACATGGCGGTAAACAAGGATGGATTCGTGAGATGGGACTCGTTTTCTTTCTTAGATTATATTAGAGGGGGCCGGGGATTAGATTAGATTAGATGAAAGAAGAAAGAAGCTAGCCTAGCAGTAGCAGAGGACTCACCCACCCATGAGACGAACAAGCGCTAGCTGGGGGAGCCCGGCCCGGCCGCCGTGAGAGTCTCCGGGAGCCACCGTACCTTGACCGTGCTGTTTCCCATCTGGACATGGAGGGGAGGTACGTTGCCGCCGTCCGGCCAGCGGGCCTGCGCCTCGATCTGGCGGGGCCAGATGCCTAGATCCATCTCTCTAGCCATCGCCATCGCCATCGCCATGGGAGAAGGGTGCACGGTGGCAGGGGGTTGGTTGCAAGGAAGGAAGGGTGAGGCCATCGATCGATCCTTCCGTGGTGGCAGGCAGTTGGAAGGAGGAGGCCGGAGATCTGAGGAGAGGAGCAGGAGAGAGAGGCGGCTAGGCTAGGCTAGGGTTTCCCTTGTTGGATCCAGGCAGCAGCGAGAAGATAAGGCGCATCCAGATCTGACAACCGATTTAGTAGTACGTATTTGACAAAAGTTAATACGTATGGTGGGTGGCAGGCAGGCGCATGCGCATGCGTGGGGTTTCTCTTTCTTTCTTTTGCAATCCGTATATGGGCACGCACGGATTTTCACGTCATGCCTGACCTGACCGACCGCCTGACTGACTCGACCGAGGGGTGGCCCAACCAAGTAGCAAGGTCCGCTTCCATTCACATTTCACAAGCCATGATAAATACTCCCGTTCAACCCATAATGTTTTCCACCCCTCAAAAAAAAAAAAACCTCCTCCTGCTCATTTTCTTTTCTTCCGCCCGTAAGAGCAACTCCGGAGTTCAAGGCAAGCACGTAGGGTCTGTTTGGCTGGATACTAGTGTGGTCAAGTCAAAGTGTGGCTAGCCACACAAGTATGGCAAGCCACACAAGTGTGGCTGTGAAATTGGACGTCAAATTTTGGCAAAAGTTGACAAAAAAATTGTCTCTATGACAAATGGGTCATATGGGCAATAAAGTGTGACAAGCCAAAGTGTGGCAAAAACCAAACACATGCCAACTAAACTGTGGTTGCCAAATTCTAGCTTGGCAAACTGTGACTGGGAACCAAACATCCCTGTAATCAACTAGCCAGTGAGCTACAGATTATTACTGGTTTAGATGTATATATGGTGGTCTTATATATCTTTTAGGTAGAATTGATCTGAATAAAAAGTTATGCACTGCACGCGAGCGACACTTTATCTTCAAGCAATTATTTGGCACACTGGCCCATTGAACCAGACGTGTCCTTTTACAAACCGGGGGTAAAAACCAAGTCGTCAAAGGATATTTGCAAAGTCTACTGATTTCCATGCCGAATACATTGGTGAAATAGAAGCGATGACCAAAAGAATAGAAAACCGGGTCAGACATTTCATTGAACACGTGAGCACATGGTAAAAATATGGAGGAGTTTGACATATCGGGAAGTCGTCCGGTTGCGGCAACCTTGTCCGGTGGCGGTGTGAGTTGTGGTGTCCGGTGGCGAAGCCCTGAGTTGAGATGGCGGGGGAGCACCGATACCGGCGGAAGTCCGGTGACGGCAATGTGGAGGAGGGTGAACAGAGAAGATCAGAGTGTTGCTTAAGCAAGGAGAGGGAAGGTGGATATGACTGAATTGACACGGACAGCAGCGGTCAGTCCTACGTGGCGGGTGTGCCCAGGCAACAGGCGCCTCCGAGACTCCCTATATCCGCCCCATATATGGCGGAATATGGGGAGTGTCGGCCAGTCCGGATGTTTAGGCCAGATATGGGTAGCCCGGTTGGGTGGCATTTTTTGATCCGGACAGTGACCGGGCAGCTCGTCGGGGCATCTAGGGCTAGTACGGAGGATCCAGTTATAAATGCTCTTAGTAAAGAATACATCCTAATTTATAGTGCCTAAAAGACCAGCTGATGGGCCAGTAGACGAGCAGTAGGGCTGTAAAAATGTGAACAGGGAGGCACACCGGTTTGGTTTCAAAAATTATGTGAAGAAAGAAGAAGAACAATTCTATAAATGATATAAGGAGACTATGACTAATTAATCAACAAGTAACTGTTGGTGGACTGGCTAGCCTCTCTAGGTCAATGTTGTGTTGTCTTTGGTTCGAGTCCCGTCGGCTTCACTCAATATTTAATTTTTCATTTTATTTCTCTATCAGCACTTATATGTGGGGTCTGCATTTAGGCTGCTTGTAATGAGGAGTACCATATACTAGTATTATGTATATAATACTAATGTATCATGTATATTACTTATGATACTCCCATTACTTGTAATGGGTTGTCTTATTAATTGCATGATATTACTTATAATATTCCCATTACAACCAGTCTTAAGAGAGCACAGGCCCAGACTAGCTGGCTTGCCAAGTAAACATAGTTAACAAAGAGATAACGGCCTGAGACGGAAATGCATGTAAATTTACCTCAAACGTAAGTTGTTGTACTACTTTGTGACATTTTTCAACTTTATGTATGAATTTGTATCCACCATGCAAGTTTATGTATTAAAAGTGTAATTAACTCGAAAATAAAAACAAGCATTTAATTAAACATAAAAACCGGCCACGAAGGCCGACGATAGTCCACACGTTCACATCCAACATAAAAAAGCTAGCTACGAGGCGGCACGCTGCCCTAGGCGTCGTCATCGTCGTCGGGCCCGATGAAGTCGATGAGCATCGGCGCAAGGCCGGCCCAGGGGAACGTCGTGTTCCAGAGGCCGTTCATGTCGGGCGCAGACTGTGCCGCTGCCGCCTGGACCTGGCGCGTCTCCTCCTCGGCCTCACGCTGCTCCTCCTCAGCGTCGCGCTCAAGCATCTCGAGGTATTCGCCGTGGCGACGCTCCTCGGCTAGCCGTTGCTGGCGCCATTGCTCGAGGTACGCCGCCACCTGCGCCGGCGTCGCTCCCGTCTAGACCGCGCGGAGCGCTGACCCACTCGCGCACTCGCCCGGTCCATGAGTAGCGCTCGATGGGGGTCGGCTCCGGCTCGGCCTTAACGGGGGAAGGCGGGGACACCGGCGGCACCACGCAGTCGCCCGCCGCGGAGAAGGCCATGGCCGCCTAGTACGCCACATCCTCTTCCTCCCTGCGACGCTCCTCCTCCTCACTCTCCCGGAGGACAATCGCCATGGTCGCCTGGTAGGCGACCTCCGCCTCCTGGTCTTCGTCGCAGACGACGAGGGGGCGGCGGCGACCTGCGGCCAACTTCGCGCACGCCTCGCCGCCTCGCCTCCTCGTGCTCGAAGGCGAACCAACGAGCCTAGTTGGGCGAGTCGAAGGCGTACGCGGCGTCGCTGCGCTACTCCGGCGCCAGCAGCACCCGCCGGCGCCACACCTCTCCGGATCCAGATGCCAGTCGTGCGATAGGGTCACGTCGGGATACGGGAGAGGCACATAGTGCTGCCAGTGCCACTCCGCCTGGCGCACTGGCACGCTGATGCGCTGTCGCTGCCGGCGAGCTAGCGCCGGCGGAGGCGGGGGGACTCGGGTGGAAAAGGGATGGTCGGGGCCTTGCCCTTTGCTACCTCTTGAGCATGCGTTGGTTTTCCCCTGAAGAAGAAAGGGTGATGCAGCAAAGTAGTATAAGTATTTCCCTCGGTTTTTGAGAACCAAGGTATCAATCCAGTAGGAGACTACATGCAGGTCCCTCGTACCTGCACAAACAAATAAGAACCTTACAACCAACACGATAAAGGGGTTGTCAATCCCTTCACGGCCACTTGCAAAAGTGAAATCTGATAAAGATAAGAATATAAATATTTTTGGTATTTTTGTTGTATAGATTGGAAAATAAAGATTGCAAAATAAAAGGCGGCAGAAATAAAAAGTACATAGGAAAATAATATGATGGAAGATGGACCCGAGGGCCATAGGTTTTACTAGTGGATTCTCTCAAGATAGCAAATTCTACGGTGGGTGAACAAATTACTGTTGAGTAATTGATAGAAAATCGCATAGTTACGAGAATATCTAGGCATGATCATGTATATAGGCATCACGTCCGTGACAAGTAGACCGAAACGATTCTACATCTACTACTGTTACTCCACACATCGACCGCTATCCAGCATGCATCTAGAGTATTAAGTTCATAAGAACAGAGTAACACATTAGGCAAGATGACATGATGTAGAGGGATAAACTCAAGCAATATGATATAAAACTCCATCTTTTTATCCTTGATGGCAACAATAAAATACGTGCGTTGTTGCCCCTGTTGTCACTGGGAAAGGACACCGCAAGATTGAACCCAAAGCTAAGCACTTATCCCATTGCAAGAAAGATCAATCTAGTAGGCCAAACCTAACTGATAATTCGAAGAGACTTGCAAAGATATTAAATCATGCATAAAAGAATTTAGAGAAGAATCAAATATTGTTCATAGATAATCTTGATCATAAATCCACAAATTCATCGGATCTCGACAAACACACCGCAAAAAGAATTACATCGAATAGATCTCCAAGAGAATCGAGGAGAACTTTGTATTGAGATCCAAAGAGAGAGAAGAAGACATCTAGCTAATAACTATGGACCCAAAGGTCTGTGGTAAACTACTCACACATCATCGGAGAGGCTATGGTGTTGATGTAGAAGCCCTTCGTGATCGATTCCCCCTCCGACGGAGCGCCGGAAAAGGTCCCAGGATGGGGTCTCACGGGTACAGAAGGTTGTGGCAGTGAAAATAGGGTTTCGTGGTGCTCTCGGATGTTTTTGGGGTATATGAGTATATATATAGGCGAAAGAAGTAGGTCGGTGAAGCCACGAGGGTGGGGGCGCGCCTACCCCCTGGGCGCGCCCTCCTACCTCGTGGCCGCCTCGTTGCTTCCTTGACGTCCACTCCAAGTCTCCTGCATTGCGTTTGTTCCAAAAATAACTCTCCCGAAGGTTTTATTCCGTTTGGTATTCCTTTTCTGCGAAACACTGAAATAGACAAAAAAACAACAATTTGCACTGGGCCTTTGGTTAGTAGGTTAGTCCCAAAAATAATATAAGTGCATAGCAAAGCCCATCAAACATCCAAAACAGATAATATAATAGCACGGAACATAAAAAATTGTAGATACGTTGGACACGTATCAAGCATCCCCAAGCTTAATTCATACTCGTCCTCGAGTAGGTAAATAATAAAAACAAAATTTTTGATGTGGAATGCTACCTAGCATAATTCTCAATGTAATTTTCTTTATTGTAGCATGAATGTTCAGACCCGAAAGATTCAAGACAAAAGTTTAATATTGACATAAAAATAATAATACTTCAAACATACCAACAAAGCAATCATGTCTTCTCAAAATAACATGGCCAAACAAAGTTATCCCTACAAAATC